ATGAGTGATGTGTTTCTCATAACAAACTTAGTATCAAAGCTTTAACAACTTACAAACATATTTTGTTTCTTTTTGAGCCTCAATAATATCAAATGTAATGCAGATAAAACTGCTCTTATAACAATACTAGGAAACAACAATCCTAACAGAAACGTGATCCTCAAAGTTCTTAAAACTATAATTGTTCTTTTTCCATATAAAGCAACAATCAGATACCTTGGAAATTATTTCTCAGGTAATTTCATAGACAATCCATCTAAACACATCCTGACAAAAGAACTAAACTAAATAATTATAGTTTGCAATAAACAAAATTGGAATGGTTCAATAACCAAACAGGTAATGGACTGGATTTTATCCAGCAAACTTGACTATGCTTTCTATTCTATCTTGTTGTTTAAAAGAGAACTAGCAAACAATCAAACCAAAATGAACAATCTAATCAAAACGAAACTCAGGATAAGCAGAACAATTTTAGACAAAATTACATATTTCCAGACCAGCTTTAAGTTTTTAACTTAATAGACAAGCAAAAACTTATCACCTTAAAACTCATTGCGAAACTGTGTAATTCAAAAACAAAAGCTGCCATTAGTATGGAAATCAAGTTAATTTAAACACATCATGCAATCTGGTTTTGCCTCCTATGCTTCTCAAAGAAGTTTCAAAAGAATTGGATTATCAAAGCTGCAATGGCATATAAAAAATATGAAGTTTCAGTATGCCCATTTAAATGTGATCAATAATCCAAATGGAAACTATTCTATAGGCCTCACTGTTTCTTTTAATAAAAAAGCTATGGCCCGACAAGCACTTAGCCTGTACTGAAAAAACATCAAATTCTTAAGTAACCTTCTAATACAGTATATCAATCAAATTTGGATCCGATCCTCAGAGGCCCTATACCCTTCTGATTTTTTAAAGTCAATATCTCTAATCACATTCAAGGAATATTCATCTGAATACCAAATATCAAGGCTAGATTTTGAGCTATTATACTAAACAATCAAGTCACCTATCTGAAAGCAAGAAGTAATCATAATACAAATCAAATGATTGTAAAAGAATCTCACTACATTATTAGGGCAAATAAAGCACTTATTAGATACTAGTGTCACAGTGACATCCAAAAACTTTTAATCCCTGTACAAGAAACAATGACTCTATGGACATATCAAAAAAGTAATTAGCATATGTTGGCAAATGCTCCAGAAAAAATTCTAATCCAATTATATTTCAAAAAAAAACCACAAACCCTATACTGAATATCGAGATTGATAACCAAGATACACTAAACATGCTTCTATATCTCAACAATAATATGGTAACTAATATTAAACAAATAATCATAACAGACCAGTTCTTTATCACTATAGACCTAGATATCAAAGATGGTTTTGTAATAGCTAGAGCAAACAATTTGATACTTACATATCACTCTGAGTATAAACAACCCATTAGTATATTTCTAGCCTTAATTAGAATCTTAGCAACAGCTAAAGATAACATCTACATGTCAGTCAATATTGTCAAAGTCCCTAATCTATCTACTCCAAGCTATGTCAATCATAAGATCAAGACAGCCTATAGCTATTTAGTAGATTGCATCTCTATCCAAAAAAATCAGATTACAACTAAACAAACTCAAGAGTCCTCTTAACCTTCAAGAAAACAATTCAATAATCTGCATAGACAATATAATAGAAATTAACAAGCACATCACTAATTCACTTATTAAGAACATATAGGACTATGGCACAATAACCTAGCTTAAAAGAGTTCAGCAATCCTATAGGTTTATCAATCTAATTAACAGTTCGTTAATTAAAAACAAATGAAATCAAACATTAATACCAGAGATATTGTAGCATCTTGTACTCGCAAACAACCTATTAATTAAAAAAGACAAATATAATTTCTCATCTTTGTTGGCCTTTAGAAACAAAATCCTTAGTGAAATCCTTTTTACAAGAAAGCTACTATACAAAAGATATTCTGACAACTACCAAGACGATCTCTGCCCCAGATGCTTGATTGCACTAGAAACCCAGGAACACATCTTTGAATGGTATAAAAATATTATAACATATAAGAAAATTGAAACTAAAATAAATTCTAAACTAAAAAAGCTCTCAAATGAAGCCAATGCAATATCTCAACACCTATCAGATCTTAACATTAACAGAAAATCACAACCAAAAAAGTTAGCATGCAGCATAACAATTTCTAATATCTATCTCTCAAACAAAAAATTTGTCAAGTTTATAAACAATATATTGAAACTTCTTTACACATTAGTATGAATATCCAGATCAGCAAAGCAAACACATCTGTATCAACAGGTATCAAATGTACCAAAACCTGATACAGTATACAAGACACAAAAGTATAAATACAATAGGCTCTTTACAAAAATCAAATCTTCTTCAACAAATCATTACAGGATCAGATTCACAATATGCTAATCAAACAACATACATAAATTATCAGACCTACTATCAGCTCTGAAAAGGCATTAATTATTCAACACTAGAGCCAATCTGAGTTATATCAAGTGTAATTAGGATAGCAATAGTTAGTATTATAAATAAATTAATATTAGTTTACATATAATATATAAAGATATTTGATGTAATCTGTGTATCAATTTATATACTTAATAAAGTTTTGTATCTAATGCCCTTTTACGATAAAAAAAAAGATTATTTATATACAGTATTTTGTTTTTTTTTTTTAAATTGCTAAAGTGAAACAATACTTTAGTTCGTGTTTATTCATAGATAGGTCATTACATACAAGATATACATGTGGTATAAATTATTTTGCTGTTGACTCAATTCCCAAAATCCTCAAAAATAATTGCGTCATGACTCAATTATTTATATGTTTTAATAGTGACTCAATTAATTGCATCAAATAATTGCATCAATTGCATCAAGGATCTACAAATTTCAGCAACATGTATAATACAAGATATATACAATATAGTGGGAATAACATAATTATGTTATTCCCACTTAGCTTAGGTTATGATGTGGTCTATATTATAATTTTGGCCACATTGGTATGTGGCCGATTTTATAATTTTGGCCACATTAGTGTATGGCCGATTTTTATCATCAGATCACATATGACACAATGTATATCAATTTGGTAATCGCGGTTGATTTTAAAACTAAGATGCTCCCCGAGGTAGGTTATGACGTGGTTTATATCATAATTCTGGCCACATTGATGTGTGGTCTATATCATAATTTTGGCCACATGATGACGGTGGCTAATTTTTGTTGTCAGGCCACACTTGAACCGACATATATCAGAACAGTGACCTGGTCGATTTCTATCATCAGATCACATATGATGCAATATATATCAATTTGGTGATTGCAGTTGATTTTAAAACTAAGATACTCTCCGAGATAGGTTATACTAGTTGATATATGACTACTCTGTATAATGTTTTAAAGCTTCTAAAATTGTATAGTATATGGTAACTATATTTGATTTCGAATATAAAGAGCTTCCCGAGATAAGTTATGGTAGTTTGCATATGGTCTGATATCAAAAGTTGGCCACTGTTATTATTCGAATAATTTTGATCACATTCGAAAGTGGTCGATCTCATAATTTTGGCCACATTTGAAAGTGGTCGATTTCTGTCATTGGCTCACATGGGTAAAAAAATATACCAACGATGAATTCAATCATATGTTATCATTTGTGGGGCCCGATGTGTATACGCAATTGCTAGAGGCAAAGCCTTCTCACTTCGTGAGTCGATATATACATCATAATGTTATTGGGGAATGCTAGATACATAAGCATCCTTATTCCGTAAGTCAAATATGCATTGCATAATTGCTATCGTGTATGTTATCTAATTGCTATCGGGTATGCTATCTGTCACTGAAAAATTTTCCGTGACAACTTTGGTGACAACTTTGGTGACGGGTTTATTATTAAATTTTGTTTAAAATTCTTTTTTATCTTGTTCTTATATACTGTCACCGAAGTCACTAAAAATAAAATAAAAATCTAGGAAAAAATAAACTTTACCTTATGGTACATCCAATACACTTATAGTATATATGTATGATATATGTAATATACCCATATATAAAAAAGAAGAAAAAAGCTAAAAAAGTTCGATTTTTTTTGGTGACTTTGGTGACTTTGGTGACAGACATCTAGAAAGTGTTCTAAAAGTACAAAAAACATAAAATTCAATAAAAATTCCGTCACCAAAAATTTTTTCTTAGCGTCACCAAAAAATTTTTAGTGACAACTATACGTATTAAGATAATGTATGTATGTTCCCTATGTATTTTTTTCAAATGCCTCTGATTTGTGTGCCATCTTCTCCAGCTTCTTCCACTGATAATGATCTTGAGATCGATACTTACCAGCATGAGTTCTACATGCACCATAATCAGAACGAGTTAACTCAGTACAGCCAGGTTCTTTACAAGGAACTTTTATAGGTGAATCCCAATAAACTGTACATCCCTCAGGTTGATAGCAACCCCGATTACATACCTTCCCATTTCTAAGGATATAAGGACAATGGTAAAATCCCACTATTTTCTTTCCCAATCCCATATCTAAAGTTTTACTAATACATTTTTTAAGTAGAATATATATTATATTGTCTAACACTAATCACCTAAGATAATTAATTTTTATTTAAACTTTTCTCTAATCACTATTATAGTTTCAAAACAACATAAGTTACAATGAGTACCAAACCCAAACATAATACATCCATTGTACCCGCATCATCCGATGTGCCAACCGTGGATAACCAAAATTTCCAAGAAAACATCGATCACACGTCACCTTCTCAATCAGATACTCTGGAAAATTCTGAAAATTTCGAGCGGGCGTTCTACCACCGGGGGTTTAGAGCTTTTCCTCAATCACAGATTTCGGAAAGTAAAAAAGTAAGCGACGTATATTGATACAATGGGAAAGATTATTTACCAGTCCATCCAAGTCGCAATATGTTAATTACAGAAATTGATGACTGTGGATCAATGGCAACTATTAAACGGGCATTAATTACTAGGGAAGATATTCCATTTATGCCTGTCGATATTGAAGAATATAACGAATATATAAATAATATCCCACATTATGTTTTACGCCTCTATGGCTATCTCATTAATGGCCAAAAAGCTGTAGTAACCGTTTCAGGAATTAAAGTTTTCTTCGATATTCGTGTTCCTGATAATGAGAATACAAAGTTATTTGAGTCCATGATAAAGGATATTCTTGTTAAAGGAAAAAATGACGAAGGAGAAACAGTAGAAATGACAGAGCTCCGAATAGAATATGTGAAGGCTTTTCCAATCAGGGGGTATCATCCAGAAAAAAAGACATATCTACGTATTGTCACAACTACTACTAAGCAAAGATCAATCACTCTTGCAATTATTTTAAATTATAATTTAAAAATCGGAGATGAGCACAAACTGGAAACTGCCTCAGATGATTTGAGAGCATATTACCGAAAAGTTGCTCGAGAGTATAGAATACTACTTTCTGGGTGGGGTTTATTAACTAATTACAAATACAATAATGATAGAATGCCTTATAGTGCCTACTCCCCACTTTGTGAACATGCTTTTTATTTGTCCATTAATAATTTTTACCGTGTTGAGGATTCCACATTATTATATAAAACCTACCCTTCTCAGCTTATTACTCATGACCGAGCATTAGTCCTTACCTGGGATATTGAAACACATTCAACACGTAGGTTAGAGCACGTGCCCTATGCGAGGTATAAAGAAGATAATATATTTATGATTTGTATGACAATTCACTGGAAAAATGACCCAAAGCCGTTGAAACAAATCTGTCTTGTTGATGTTGAAAGTGCATGGGACCCAAATTGGATTACAATCGTGTGTGGAAATGAGAAAAATCTATTAAAAGCATTTGCTTTATGTTGGCGGGCTTTAGCTCCTGATATCGAACTTACTTTTAATGGTTCCAAGTATGACTGGCCATTTGTAGTGGAAAGAGCTACTCAGTGGAAAATTTTGGATTGGATGTTAACAAAAATGTCAGCAAATCCGCGTAAAAAGGCTACAATCGATAGCATCCTTCGTTGGAATTATTACGGGGGGTAGGTGAGCCTTTCTATAAAGATTTCTTTCACAAAGAGCAATCATGGGGATCTTCCAAAAAAGAAAACAAGGATAGCAAAAAGATAAAGAATCGGAAAGGAGTTGAAATCAAGATTACTTCAGAAGAAGGTTTCATATCTACTTTCCTTAAAATCCCAGGATGCGTTCCAATTGATGTTGTAGTATGCTTTAAAAAACTTTATCCAAAATCTGAGAAAAAATCGCTCAACTATTTCTTAGAAATGCATAGTCCTGATAGTAAAATAGATTTACCCATAAAAGTTATGAGGGAATATTATACACAAAGCAAGAAGAAAACCACACCCAAGACTGTTGAAAATATACGTAAAATTGCTAAGTATTGCATTGTTGATTCTCTTAGTTGTCAAAGCCTTATGGTTAAGAGAAACATAATAAATGATTACAGAGAGGTGGCCTCAATTGCATATGTTTCTTTATTTGATTCACATTACTATGCAGGGGGTATGAAGGTATGTAATCTATTAGGTGCTGAAGCGTGGAAAAGAGATATATTGATCACTATGATTTCTTCCGAATGGACAAAAAAAGGATCATTTCCTGAAGCCTATGTATTCCCTCCAGATAAGGGTCTAGAAAACAAACGTTCTGTTACAGGTTTAGATTTCGCATCATTATATCCAAGTATTATTATGAATTATAATCTCTTGCCAGAAACAATGACTCTACTAGCAGAAGAGGCAGGTGCATTAGAAAAGGCAGGAGAAATTCTCTATAAAATCGAGTTTCCTTTTAATGGGTGAATTTTACATGCATGGTCTATAAGACATGAAAATAAAAATAATAAAATGGGGTTATATCCATCAGTTTTAAAAGAGCTCCTTAATAAATGAAATAAAATGAAGGCTCAATTGGAAATACTTAGCAATATAAAAGAGTATATGGAATTAGTAAATAGTAAAATAAAAGAGGAGAATTTATTAGTGGCTGATGCTATTGATCATATTCTAAGAAATGCCGAAGATAAAGAAAAACATGCCAATATGAATGAAATCTTGATTCCTCTTATCAATGAAACCTATGAAAATTTTAAAATAGAATACGACTCCATCTGCTTTGATCACACCTGCTTAGATTCGAAACAAAAAGCAGTAAAAATATATATAAATACTTTCTATGGAGAAGCAGATAATAGTCTATCCCCATTCTTCTTCCTACAATTGGCTGGTGGTGTTACATCGGCAGGGCAATACAACATTAAACTTGTTGCTGAGTATGTAACTAAGAAGAAAAGTTTTGGAATCAAATATGGAGATACCGATTCTTTGTATCTCACTTGTCCTGCTGAATGTTATAAAGAATGCGAACTCGCTTATAATAATAGTAAAGGCACAATTTCAAAGTTGGAATATTGGACCGAAATGATTAAAATTACCATGAAAGTAATGGAGAAATTATGTAATGATGTGAATACATATCTTAGAATAAAGAATAGATCGACCTATCTTAAAATGACTTATGAAGAAGTTTTATTCCCAGTAGTATTTACCGATAAAAAAAAATATTTCAGAATACCATATAAAAAAGTTCCAAACTTCAAGCCAAAAGAACTTTTTATTAAAGGTATTGATACGGTGAAGCAAGGTAAATCCCAACTTTTCAAAACTATAGGAAATCGAATTATGTGAGGTACGATAGATATTAACAATAATCAAACACTCCATGAGATTGTTGAAGAGGTTCTTAAAGAGGCTATAACCAATCCTAATCAATGGAATTTTGACCAGTTTATAGAAACTGATGCATGAAAACCTAATGTAGATAATAAACGTGTCCAACGATTTATAGGGTGGATGAGAGAAAAATATGAAAGCAAGATTCCTGATTCTAGGGATCGCTTTAGTTATGTAATAATCCATCCCGATAAAATTTTCAATTTATCCAGTTTTAAGCTTACAATAAGAAAGGCTGATCAAATGAAATTCGCAGATGTTGCAAAAGAATTAAATAGGAAATTGGATTTATCCCATTACTTCGAAAATACTATTAATGGACTTTGCGCCCGATTTATTATGTATGATAAAAAATACGAACCACCATTTACCGACAAAATCATGAAAATTACTGATTCGGATGAGAAATATAAACAGGTTGACACATATGCTCAAAATAAGGCCAAGAAGTGGCTTGAATCATATATTAAGGAGATAAATTTGATAAATGAAATCACTCCTAAAATAATATCTAATCATGGATATGCTTACAAACACGCTTACAAGAATACAATCAAAACCGTGCAATTTATATTATATCAGAAGATAGGTAATACTTATGAGATATTTCATGGGGAATGGCTTAGTTTTGAGGATTTTAAGGTGACTAATACTGTTAAGAGATTATGGGAAAATTTTATAGAGTATGCCAAAGCATATACCGAAAATGATAATCTTTTGGTAAGTGATAAAATAAAAGAATCCATATACTCTGATTTTGAAAAACATCTAAATATACTTATCCCAATTATCGAGAAATATGATGTTTTCTTTCATAAGTTGATATATCATATGCGATATAAGGAGCATATATCAATTCCAGATAAAATTGGTCAACCTGAGACTATGAGAAAAAAAGAGATTATTACCAAGCAACCTACCTTATCCAATATAACTAAGCTGATCAAAGGGCACTTGACGATTTTCTAAATATATGGAATAAGGCAGTTAGCTCATTATACCCTAAAGATATTGAGTCTTGTTCATAAATATATTTCCAAATATATCTAACACCTATACAATGTAATAATAGTTTTTCATACATAAATAATACCCAAGTTCAAATAAATAGTCTCAGTTACAATTAGAATTCTCTCCGGAAATATATATATGTTTATTATATTTTTGAATTAACAAAACCACTAATGGTTTATTATATCAAGCCATAAAAATTACTTAAATCATATTATAGCCACTTTGTGACTGCAAAGAAAAAATGCAAGATTGTAATGAGATTGATACTAATGCCTTTATTTATGCCAAAAGACGTAAAGGTAAATGTCTAGCTAAACATGAATATATTCCGGGTATTTACTTATGGTCATGTAAAAATAATCATCAATGGAAAGAATCTTATGATGATATAAAGCGAAATTATAGGTGGTGTAACATTTGTCCTCATATACCAGAAAGAACATGTCGATACATTTTCGAAGATTTATTACATAAAAAATTTCCACCTCGTAAACCTAAATTTTTAGAAGGTTTACATCTTGACGGGTATAATGAAGAGTTAAATTTAGCTTTTGAATTCAGCGGTAGTCAACATTATCAGATCGTACCTTTTTTTCACCCACAAGGTCAAAAAGATTTGGATGCACAAATTTAATGTGATTGGAAAAAAAGATCGTTATGTTATAGAGAAGGGGAAATCCTTATTACAATACCCTATTGCATCGTTGACTTAGAAACTTTTATAAAAAGCGCCTTATACGCATTCGGTTATCTTCCAATATCCACCTAGGGGGTAACATAGGCTTTTCCTTAATATGCATTAATTGTTCTCTAACAAAGAGACATTGAGGTCCTGAATCATCTAAATAATATAAAACAGGCATTAAAGGGTTTCTCCCAACAACAATTCTCCGGATCTTATGCAGGCTGGCAGATCATATCAGATCTGTTATTCTGTGTCATTCGAAAGGATCATTTTCCCACTCTCCAGGAGTGAGCAAAAATCGGATAGTAATACCCTTTGGTAGTTGTGGTTCATCAACACCTATTGGGCGATTATATTTTACTGATGGTTCAGAATATATCCACTCAAGTTTGATGGCGTCATTAGGACTCATCCCAATTAATTGAGTTGGGCTATTATTCATATTATCAACAATTTTTCTTGCAAACCGTTCACATTCTCTACAGCACTTGCCAGTAGATAGGAGAAACTCTATCGAATACTGATTTTTAAAAACTTTATATTCGAATAATCCAGCATAACGATCGATCATTGTGAAACTTGTATGCCTGAAACATACTATAATTCTTCGGATTTCAACACCATGTTCATTCATTAATAAAGTCACATATCCCATAAACTCAGTACCCATATCACATTGCATTTTTCGAGGCCAGTTGAGAGGCTTATCGGGATTATTGTATATATTCTTAAATGCTTCCACAACTTCCTTACTGCTCTTTGATGTTAAAAAAACGAAATCTTTATATCTAGTCGCGCAGTCTATAACCAATAGTACATAATAATATATTGGGCCATTATCTAGTAAATTTGTATCCACATCTTCATCATATGATATTTCGATTAAATCACATTGGTGCACAGTATTTGGCTTCGTAATTTTAGAGTAACTGGCATAAGGTATATGCTTTGGTGAAGGACGAAAAATTTGATACATTGCCTACCTATCAAGCCATTTTTTTACATCAGTAAATAGAAAGCTGTAGCCGGCTTTTTTACAAGTGTCCCATAATCCCTTAGTATTTTGATAAAGACCCTCAGGACGATAATGTAGTTTTTGCAAAGCAAGATGCCAGTCTAAATCATGAGCTTTCTGAGGATCAATAAAAATCGTAGGCTTTTGTTTTGCAATCTCCCTATCCAATTTACGGGCCTTCTGCGGGTCAATATAAATTACAGGTTGTTCCATTACTTATTGAAAAACAATGAAACTTTGTTTCTAATCTATTATAATTAGTAAAAAAAAACATGGAAGAATTAAGACAAACTAATCAGGAGCTCCATGAGGAAATATCACGTTTAGCCCAATCAAATAGGAGCATAGAACAATGAGTATATACTTTAGAAAGGGCTATTGCTATATGTGAAGAAAGAATCCAATTTCTTGAAGAGGAACTAGAAAATACTATCGAACTTTCTAATGAAGAAAAAAATGAAATGATGAAAGAAATCATAAATTTAAAAAGAATTGTTCAACAACTTGAAAAAGAAAATAAACAAAAAGATGAAGAAATATCTATTAAGGATAAATTAATAACGGAATTCGATGAATGTGAAAAAAAATTAAAAATCAGAATTCGAGAAATATCCAAATCAGCAGGTAATACCCCCAAGGCATTGAA